TATAGTTGATTTACAGTGTTGTGTTAGTTTCAGATGTACAGCATAGTGACTCAGTTTTATATATTTTCTTCATACTCTTTTCCATTAGAGGTTATTACAAGATATTGAATATAGTTTCTTGTGCTATACAGTAGGACCTCGTTTATTCTATGGATAGTAATTTGTATCCGCTAATCCCAAACTCCTAATTTATCCCTCCTCACCTCCTCCCCTGCTTTGATAACCTTAAGTTTGTTTTCTATGTGTGAGTCTGTTTCTGTTTTGTAAATAAGTTCATTTGTATAATTTTTCAGATTCCACATCTAAGTTGTATTATAAGATATTTGTCTTTCTTCACTTAGTATGATAATCTCTAGGTCCATCCATGTTGCTGCAAATGGCATTAGTTTATTCTTTTTATGACCAAGTAGTATTCCATTGTGTATATACATCACATGTTCTTTATCCAGTCATCCATCGATGGGCCTTTAGGTTCCTTCCACTAACATGGGTATTCTTTATTCCTGGTCAGTGTGCCCTTTTCTTTAATAATGAAAGCAAATGTACAGTGTATGTTTGATAGGCCACAAACAGGCTGTTTTAGCTGGCAGTTAAAATTCAAGTTAACTCATGTATAAGCCAGAATGATTTCCCCATACCTCAATATATGAAAATTCCTTTTATCACCTGAAAGGGACTTTAGTGAAGGAATCATTTATGGGAGAGCAGGCAAAATAAAGGGAGTCGACAGTGGATAGTGAAGCACCAGGAACAAGAAAGAGCAGAAAAGATCACCACCCCAAGTGCTGAAGGGGCAAAAGGAAGAAACAAGGCTAGAATGCAGGCACCCAGTACAAGTGCAAGTCCTGGAGGAGCGGCCATCTCTCCAGAGCTCCAGTCCTGGGGAGATGCAGGTCCTGGCAGAGCCTTGTCTGCAGCAGGTTGGCAGCTGGGGAAAGAGATGTCCTGATCTCTCTTCCCCACTGACCGCCCGTCTCCTCTCTCCAGTCTCTGGTCTGTAGTCAGTGCCTCCTGTTGGCTGAACCTAGTTGGAAACCAGAATGACATGGCCCATAGGGGTCAGCAACTTGGGCTCAGAGTAGGGGTGAGAAAGGCAGAGGATGGGTCTGGGTTGGAAGGGAGGGCAACAGTATGATTAGGATATCAAACACCTTGCAAATATAATCCTAGTTTTCCAAAAACTGGTACATGTATTTATGTATAAGAGAAGACTGAAGTAGAATTTTAAAGTAGCTATATTATGGTAGTAGAAGAATAATAAATGGATTTTTTTATACTGTTTGGTATATTTTCCAAATCAAAAAAAGTGGCTGTGTATTACTTTAAAATGTTTAACTTTTAAAGGAACTATTTCTATCCGTGGCTCCTCATGGTAAGAATTTTACTTTCTGAAATTTCTCAGAAGTAAGACCTCATCTAGAGTAAGATCAAGGCCAAATGAGAGGGGTTTTGTGTTTGTTTCTCAAAGCACTAGTTTGTTGTCACACTGTTCTGCTCAGCAGTGGGAAAGAATAATCTAAAGTTGGACAAATGGTATCCCAGTTCTAGTCACATTAGTAGATATAATCCTAGTAATTACTGTTAACTTTGTTATACAGCAGAATTGGTCTGTGATACTCACTTTGTCGAACGAAATTTGTTAGCCTAGAGTTGAAGGCACAAACATCCATACCTAGGCCACGAACTCACACAAACATCTAGCTTCAAAATCCTTTCAATTTAATCATACTGTAAACAAAAATCTCTCTTTGTCTTCGAAACCATTTGTATAACTGTCCAATTTATTTTTCTGTTGTCTCCTGTCTCTCGTGCTTGCCTGTGAATTATGAATAAAATGCCACAGAGGAGCACAGTGGTATTGTCAGCAGTCAAGTATCTACCCTGGTGTTTTCCACACCCAAATTCCTCTTCTATTCATTGTGTTGTCCTCAGCCTCACATGGGGTATGGGGTAGAAGCAGTTACTTTCCCAAAAGAAATATTTAATATGTACAGAATGAGATGGCAAACCTTTGCAATGTCATAGACCAGCTGTTGAAGGCAATATTCCTAACCACCAGTCCCAGCTGCTCCCTGGGCCAAAGCAGCCTGTGTGCTGTATAAACTCAGACGCCCGCCCCTGTAAGCTCGAGCCTCAGAACTTACCCTGCCTGCCAGGCTATTTAAAGCTAAGGATTATGCAGTGAGAACAGATGCAGTACATTTTGCCATCTTCCAAAGTCTTAAATTTTAAGTAACATTTGAAGAGCATAGTTTAATTTTTTAATTTTTAAAGTGGTTTCCTAAACTTAATTTATGAGTTAATACATCTTATTATTTCATAAGTAACAAAACATATGCTGTGCTTTTAAAAAACACTACAGATAAGATTCAGTTTAGTGGAAAAAAAAATGAGATACGTATGTGGAACTTTTGAAAAATAAGACTTACATCTGAAAATCCCAACGTAAGTTTCAAGCAGTAACAAATACAGTGACTCATAAATGTATTTCAGACCCAATATCCAAGTACTATATTTTAACATGTAGACTCTGTGTTTACAAAGTTCCACTGTAATAAAACACTGAAAAGTAAAGCTTATGAAGCGTAGGGGATCACAACCCTTTTTCTCAATATAAAAAGTTTTCATAAAATGAATAAGAATTTCTGGGATTTGTGTGGTTCTTCTGCCATCAGTTGTTACAAATGCAGCTTCTCTGGCACTGCTGGAGTAACAAAGAAATAACTGAGTTCCTCTCTAGTATCAATCGCCTAAATTGTCAATGCTTCCGATGTAAGAATAGCATCAATTTGAGCCCTAGGTACAAATTTAACAATTTTCCTTTCTGAGTAATAATAACAAAGACAACGTCAACATACCAGAACCATGCCTAGATTTTTAATCTTCATAAAAATCACTTCAAACGTGGCTCAGACAAACATTCTCGTGATACCACAGGCTGAATTAGAATCTTCCTCCTGCCGTATGAACAGGAAGCAGTGGGATTTCACTGGGTCCCAGCTGGATCCTTGACTTCCACCACCAGAATCCCGTCGTGACAGAGGATGGCAGACAAATCTTTGGTTTCGATGCCGTCGGGCAGTTTATACTGCCGGGTGAAGCTTCTCGAGATAAAGCCATGCTCGTCCATTCTGGTTCCATGTTGAGCCTTGATCAGCAGCCAGCCTTCGAAGGTCTGAATGATGATATCTTCGGGGAGGAACTGGACCACGTCCAGCAGGATCTGGAAGCGGGATTCGCCTCTCTGCGGCGGCATCTCTGCGGCGGAGTCCACGGGGGGAGCCGGGGCGGCCCCGGCCTTCCCCAGGTCCACGGTGGTTGGCCCGGGCAGTGCATATAAAGCGTGATCCAGCCTGCAGTCTTCCAAACCTCGAGCTTCAAACTGCTCCTCGTATCGCACTGGAGTCTCTATGAGGTGCCTCAAGATGACTTTTGCCATAGCGGAGGCAAAGCCAGCATCTGTCCCGCCTAGGTTGCTGGCGTTGAACCCTTGCAGTGGCCGACTGGCTGGATGATCGGTTGCAGCCGCTCTTCGCTTATAACCCTGCGCCGACGCAGCCCCTTAATTAGGCCTGAATCACAGCGCCGCACGCTCCCTCTTGTCTTTTCACTCCCGCTGACAATGAACGGCTATTTATAGGGCTTGTTTCGAAGTTGCTTTTAGCACACAGCCTGCTCGAGCTGCCGAGTCAAGGATTGCCCTTAACATTCTCAGTTATACTTGGCAAGTGTGTCTGTCTTACTTACCCCGAGAGAAAGAGAGAATGAGAGACAGTATTCGGGAATTATCTGAGTGAGTGCTCTGTCCTCGTGAACCACCGTGATCTAAGGGACTGTGGCTTCTTAGAACAGCCCAGAAATGTGCAGTCGTCTTATAATATGAGCTAAAACTGCATCAAGCCTAGTCTCCAACTGCAAAGCTAGGCGAGGTGAATATTGATGTAACTGATTAGGAATTAAGACAGACACACACACACTCAAATCTCAGACCTTCAGCAAACCCTCAGCCCTCTGTCCTATATATTTACTTTTATTTCATCTTTTAATCTTTTGTCTTTAAGAGATATGTGAGCCACACTATCTGGGTTTATTATATTTGATTGATCACAAATGAGATCAGATGGCTAAACCAGACAATGGTGGCAAACCTCAGATGGGGGTTGGAGGGGCTTAAAATGGGGACTTTTAGATAGAGCCCCAGAGGAGAGAAAAAATGTTAAAGCTTTGAACTATTTGATGTTAAAGCCCAGAAGACTTTGAATCAATCTAATTGCAGCTCTGCTGTTGAATTGGCATAAATAAAAACGTATAATTTCTTAACGATAATGTTCTTTATATTAAACTTTAATTGCAAAAGAATGAGGCAACTCTTTAGCCACTGAATGATTTCCAAGATATGTTAAGTACAGAAGAAAAGTCCCAAACAGCATATACTGTGCTACTATTTATTTATCCTTTCTTGTAAGTAGGTATTTGCTTATATAAATAGAATCTCTCTGCAGGCTATGTCACTGGCAACAGCAGTTGCCTCCTGAGACAGCCCCAGGGTGATGGGGGGGCAGGGGCTGGAAGGAGACTTGCTCAGCACTGTAAACGCACGTGTGTGTTTTATTTATGCAGTGTGTATGCAATGCACATACACACAAGAAAGCTTCCTCTCTACAGATGTTAGTATTTTCTAGCACAGGTAGGCTCTGGAATACCTTTCCTTAAAACACATTCCATTTTCTTAGAATGAAAGAAAAAACCTGCAAAAAATAAAAAATCAGAAAACAGAAGGGAACAATCTCCTTTAGCTCTTTTTATTACTCTAAAAACCTGTGTGGACATTTCAATATGTATTTAAGAACATGCCCTAATCATGCTGTTTCCATTCACCTTTTTTGACCTGCATTTTACAGGTGATGGCCCTCAAAGGGAAAATGTGCTCTTTTAGATGTTAATGTCCTCTGACTCATAACATATTGAGAGATGTGTTCATCTCTGCTGCTCCGAGTGATAGGTCAAAAATAGAACTCACTGCCAGTGGCAGGAAATAGATAAGATACTAAGGATTTGGCTTTAAATTGCTAGAAAGAGTCACAGCAAAAGTGAGAAGACGGTACAGAGGTTTTCCATATACCCCCTGTCCCCACACATGTATAGCCCCGCCCCGGCCCTGTTATCAACATCCCCACTGGAGGGGTACGTTTGTTACAACAGATGAATGCACATTAACACATGACAATCACCCAAAGACGATAATTTACGTGAGGCTTCACTCTTTGTGTTGCATGTTCTATGAATTTGCACAAAGATGTAATACTATCGAAATACTATCATAGAGTAGTTTCTCTGCCCTAAAAATCCTTTGTGCTCCACCTATTCACCTCTCCTCCCCAAACCCTGCTCTAAAACACTGCCATAAAAAAAAAAGTCTGCTTAAAAAACTAAAACTGCTCCAAAAAATAAACTCTGTTAAAAATACTGGAAAGATGCTGGTAAGGTGGACAGAGGCAAATGTATCCAGTTAATCTTACCATTTCTTGCCTCCAGGGATCTCTGAACTAGGCCAGGAGGACCCCCTGGCCTCCTGACCCCCACCTCTCCTCCTGGACCCTCTGCTTCAACCACGCTGGCCTCCTGTCTGTCCTTGAAACTCCAAGCTTGTTTCTTCCTCAGGCCCTTTTGCTTGGAAAGCTTCACTCTCAGAATATGAAAAGCCATTCAGGATTCAGGTCAAATGTCATCTCTTCAGGCAGGTCTTTCCTGACCGTCCAGCCAGAATCTTCCTCCTGTCACTCCTGTATTTTATCTCCATCACCATTGTCAGCATCTAAAACAATCTTGCTCATAGATGCATCTTCCAGCTGGGGAAGGCAGACAATGGCACTTTGAGGTCAGAAACTCAGGGTGCACTGCTGTATCCCCGGCACCTAAGACAGTGCCTGGAAAGTATTAGGGGAAAAAAAAAATCCAACTGCTACAAATTTTGTCCTTTTTATTCAGCTGGCCCTCAGTGCCACTTGGTTATCTTTCTGTGTCTTTCAGTCAGCTTCTCCTATTTTTCCAAAGTAGAGATCACCAACTTCTTCCTCTCCTCAGGCCTTCCTCCTATCTTCCACCACACTCTCCCAGGTGTGGTGACTTCCCTGCATATTCACACCCAGACATCTCAGAGGGGGAGAAGCTGGTTGTCCTCCCTTCACTGCTGCCAGTAATTCCCTTGTCCCCTCCCTCCTCCTCTGGGCTTCTGTCCAACCACTTACCCCTTTCTGGACGTCTCTTAGTCTCTCACCATCCACAGGCTCCTCTCCATCAGCCTAAAGTCAAAGTGTGCTCCATCTTTTTAAAACAAGACCTCCTAGACCTCTTGTCACCCTCTAGCTAATTATTCCACCCTCTTCCAGCCCAACTCCTTGAATTTGTGGCCTGTATTCAATGGTCACTCTCCACGCTGCTGCTAAATGACTTCTGTCCTACCTTGGACTCTGCCCTTGGCACAAAGTTAGCCTTGCTGCTAAATCTGTGCTTTAACCTTATCTCCCTTACCCTCTTCAGCACTGACATAAGCCTCTTATCGGAAAAGGATGGGAACTGTTTTTGCCGTAGCCCTGTCAAGAGGACAAGTAGTTTTCTCTTATCCTATTCCATGCATTCTCAAAGGGGACAATATTGCCCTCAAGGGGGCAAAAATTGGTTCTTATGAAGAAAAAAAAATCCACATTATCTAAGATTATATCAAATCTTAGCTATTAGATTATGGGTTGTAACCCTCCCAAAGGCCCAAGTACATAAATAGACATAAAGAAAATCTGTGGTATTAAAATTTCATGAGGCAGAGGGAGGAGAAATCAGCCAGAAAATGTCTTAAAAGACTCCTGGGAGTGGAGGGGTGGAGCAATAAAAAAAAAAAGGGTGAGAGACACTGTTAGGTTAGCTTCATGAATTGCTCATCCAGACCCCACGGCCCAGGGGCTCACTTGGGGGATTCCAGTACTAACTAGGCTTGCGTCTGAGAAGGTTTCCTAGAGAGAGAGATCTGTCGGCCTGGATAAGAGGACAATGAGGTGGGACAAATGGAGCTTTGGGCAGGGAAGGGACAGGAGGTTGAGTGTTCGCCACATTCCAGGACTGGAGCCAGAAGAGAAGGCCATGATCGGAGGACAAAAGGACGCGGTGTGGCCACAAGGCAGACCACAGAGTAGGAAGTGGAAAAAATGAGGCTGGAGAGGTGAGCAGAGACCAAATCCGGAAGAACCTCACGTGTCATTTGGGACAAAAATAACATTTTCAAATTTCCACCAGTTGTTCTAGGAGTGACATTGGAATCCTTGTTTTAGAGTAAACACTAATCTTTCTCTTCATAATCAAAAGGCTCATTGCAGTTGTTTTTATTTTCCCCAAAAACTAAAGTTGAGGTTCTATTCTAGACTATAGGAGTTAATTTCATGAAGACCCAAATCAGTGCCTTTTTTACTTTTCTGACGACACTTACAGTAAGAAACACATTCAGCACTGCTACCCAGTGAACACATATATACACACACTGGGTACAAAACACTTAGCTTTACTATGTGCAGTGCACTCTGATGGTCCCTCTGTTCAATTCCATTTAGCTCAACAGTGAGACTTACACTTCACTAAGTTGATTTCACAGCCCACAGTTTGAAAAGCAGTTGACTTTTTACATTGTTAAGCAAGGTCATTTATCATCTTTGTGGGGTGAGTTACCCCTCTGCAGGGAGACTGTGATAGTCTTAACTGGTTTTTCTTCTGCAGTTGCAGCAAGACGTTGAGTAAGTAGGAAAGCAGGAGGTCAGCGAGACCAGACAGCGTGGCTTAGGTCCGGTGCTGAAGAGGATGAGGAAGATAAGGATGAAAGCACAGATTTAGCAGTGAGGGGGCCTTCGACTTCGCTCGGGAGTGTCAGAGGCAAAGCTGGGCAGAGGTTACACTGCAGGTGGTCGGGGAGTACATGCTGCACGCAGATCACAACTTCTAGGAGTTGGGTGGGAGGGGATGGAAGGAATTCGCTAGAGGCTGACACAAGGTCTGGAAGGCTTGTTTGGTCTTAATAAGATGTTTTTAAGAAAAGTGACCATTGGTCTAATGGGAAAAAGAGAACTGGTTAGCGAGGGACTCTGATAGGCCATGGTTGATGGAGTCTGAAGCCTGGATGGCCAATATTCTGCTTTAAAAATTTCCTTTAAAGAGAGAAATTTCCTTACATTGTCCTCAAATCATGAATATGGTTCTGCTCAGTATTACAGACTGGTGTCAACTCGGCTTTGTAAGGATTGGGTTGTTCCAGGCTCTGGTTAAACTAGAGCAATGGGCCTCCCCTGCCTGGAGAAGCAGTGATGATGTAGAAGCAGTGATGAGGTAGAAGCAGATGACAGCAGCAGTCTGGAAAGAGAGAAAAGCGACAACCAACTTAGAACAAATACACGTGCCTAAGGGAATCCTAAAAATATTTGCATGGAAATTTGATTGGAACTTGCTGAAATCTTGCAGGCTTTTGGAGTCAGCTGTGGAATGGTAGCCTTATGGAGTTTACATTTTATTTATTTATTTTTAATATTTTATTTATTTTATTTTGGGGGGGTGGTAATTAGGTTTATTTATTTATTTTTT